ATTGGCTCAAAAGCTACATTTTCAAAATTTTTCTAAAAGATCTGATTAGAAATTGTGATCAGATGAAAGAGTCTCCGAGCCAATAATTTTGTACGGCACGGTATTTATAAGTAATCTAGGTTTCACGAAAGAAAAAAAATTAAATACAAGGTAACATTAAAATATCAGTCATTTGTTTCGTTGCTGTGAGCTTGTTTCAAAACTTCTGACTTCCGCTTAATATAATTGTAAAACTCTGTGCATGTCATTTTAACGTATTTAGGTACATACTTATATTAATCATCAACTATTGCTTGTGAAAAACGTGCTAAATTTAAAAAAAATCGCATAAGAAAGAGTACCAAACTAACTCGTAATAAATTTAAGTATACAAATTTTAGTATTTAGTATAGAAATATTCAATTGAAATACGCCAATATTAAAATGAAGCGCTTTGCACTTAACGGATGATTTTTCATAATTAAGTTAAAAAAAATATATTCAAATTCCATGCTGTCTGTAATGGGATTTGAACCCTGACGCTCTGGAAATTAGCAAATTGTGGCAAGCATCTTCGTGCACTCAGCTACAGCCAGACATGCATATGTGCATTCAAATTTTCAGTTTGATTCAACACCACGTGAGCGTGGTATGAAAGTATTGCTTTTAAGTACGAACATTTCAAAACGATAATCAAATAAAAAATATTCATGTTTACTATGCGTTATTTCCCCAGTAAATTCATAAAATTTTTCTTAATATTACAACGCGTTTTTTCTCTCAGTGTAGTCATTTTTATGCAAAATTTGTGCAATCAAATCGAAAACCGGGACACTTAAACGAAACCCGGGACATTTTATGGTTGGACCGGTACACCGGGACAAATAATCTAAAACCGGAACATGTCCGGGAAAACCGGGACGTCTGGCAGCCCTACATTCAAGAGGATCTCGAATTGACGTTGTTGCCATGTATCTGGGGATGACTTTGTTGCTGTGAATCGATAACCGATTAATTATATTTTAGTGTTAATATCATCAGTGAACTGTAATTTTGGATTTTATTTCTTTATTTCTTCAACGTGTGAGATATTGTGATCAGTGATGCCGTTTGGATCTAAATAGATCCAATTGGATACATTTTTAGACGAATATTTGCGGGATACTTATTTTTTTCTGTCAGTATAGATGTGGATACTTTTTTAAATAGGCCAAAATTTTATCTTTTCTGTAGTTTTTTTCGTTCAAAAATAGATTTTCATTAATGACGTTTTCTAAATGTTATAAAAATCGCTACTTAAGCGTGAAGTTAGAGCATTTTATTTTTTGTGAATGAAGCAATGAACATATGAAGAGATCTCACCAAAGCAGTGTAATAAGAGCTTTAACAGACGGCAGCGTTGATCCGGATCAACTCGAGAATTAACTGCAGTTAATCCGGATTAAGGCCCAGTTAATCCCGATCAACTCGGGAATTAACTGCAGTTGATGCGGATTAAGTCCCAAATAATCCCGATCAAGGCTGCCGACTATTTAAGCTTTTAGGCGCAATTGTTTAGTTAGCTAAAAAAAATGCTTTAAGCAAGATCTTAATATATATATGTACTAGCTGGCAGTGGTTGCGCGAGGCTTCGCCACGCCCGTCAAAATATGCAAAAAAAGTCAAAATCTTAGTATTTAGACTGTACTGTAGACTTACTTATTAGACAACATTTAAAAAAAAACTTCAGTCCATTTAAATTTGAATTAACCATACTATGGTAAATTCAGTAATTGATGAAAAACGAAAAAATTCATGAGTGAAAAACTAAATAAAAATAAAATCCTCTTGTTTAGAAAAANAAAGCTAAGTTAAGTAAAAAATATTAAGTATTCTTGCAAATTTGTAGTTTTAACGGTAAAGTAGAACATTTTTTTTAAATTTTTTATTTGTTGTATGTTTAAACTTTCTTCATACTGTGATAAATTCAGTAATTGATGAAAAACGAAAAAATTCATGAGTGAAAAACTAAATAAAAATAAAATCCTCTTGTTTAGGAAAATTTGTTTAATCGGCTGTATATTAAATTATTTCTTAGTAAACAATATTAAGCACTTTTTTTTAGGAGCAAAAATAAAAAGATTATTTTTATTAGTAACTCGCGACAAAGCAACGTAAAGCTGACCATGAGAGAAACAGTTGACACTTAAGTCCACTCCAGCGACTTCAAACGTTTGGCCTTGAGATTTGTTGATTGTCATAGCGAAACACAGTTTTAAAGGAAATTGGAGCCGTCTGAATTGAAAAGGCAAGTCTGTCGGAATAATAGGTATTCTGGGTATTAATACTATTTCCCCAGTTCCACTTCCAGTTATAATCTTACACTCTATTAAATAATTTTTAAAAGATACTGGCCCGTAGTCATAGTCAAAATAAAGTCGACTTTAAAGATAGTTGCAGCTTTTTTGACAGATATCCCATTGAAAATTATGTCAAAAAGCTGCAACTAACTTTAAAGTCGACTTTATTTTGACTATGACTACGGGCCACTATGATCAAGCGGGTGCCGTTACAAAGTTTTCGGGGATTTAGGTTTCTTAACAAAATAACTGGTGAGCCTAGTTTAAGATTAAGTTTGTGTGGAGGTGCGCCAGAAGGATTTAATGAATTAAGAAATTCGGTCAGAAAATGAACTACTTGCTCTTGATCGAGAACTGTATCTACCGAATAGTAAGTCTTATTAGGAGCGTCAAATTTATATTGAACCATGTTATTTATTACATTACATTCATCATTTGTTGGTGTTAAAATAGCCCTCTCCTTAAACCAATCCAAAGTCATTCCCCTTAGATTTGAAATATCTGGATAAACCTTTTCTAGAAGTTCTTCAAGGCTTTTCACAGGTACACACAGGCTTTCATTTATGTCTACATTAGAGTTATTGTCTGTCATTTGTCCAATACCAATTTTGAGAAGTGCTTTAGCAAAAAGTTTATTTGCCAGACCGGAGGTCAATCTCATGTTTCTTTGTTTTATTTTGCCAGCAGTAAATTAATAAGAAAGGTTTTTCCTGTACCTCCAGGGGCATCAAGAAAGAATATTTTGCCTTCATGATTAAAAACAGAACTCGAAACTGAATTATATATACTTTTTTGTTCTGAATTAAGCTTATCTTCATTTTGTCTAACAACTTCAAGTAGTTTGTGTTGATCATACGATTTTTCTCTCGCATAAATCGTATTATGGATAGTTTGGTGTCAGTTATCAATGCAAGTGAAAAATCGGCAACTGTCTTACCGCAAAGAGAAATTACAATTTTGTTAAGTTCGCACAAAGATTCATCAAAAATTAATTGATTGTAATCCAAATTTCGGTTACCAGCTTCTCTTCTTTTTCTTTGCAATATGTCTTCTGACATGCTTTCTTGCGAATGCCCTATAATGGATATATGTACATTAAGGGCTAACTATAATATGCATAAGCTGCCGTAACTGACTGTCAGAAAATGAACGAAAAGGCTGTCAAATGCATAAGCAACGTAGTGTAGACTTTTAGGTGGCTATATTTTACTTACATGAGTTCAGTGTTGCCACATTTAATTAGATATAACAATAGCCACTATCAAGCAGTTTGTTGTAGATCACATAATTATAGTAACCTAGAAACGCCGAAGAACTGTTCGCCTTGCGAAAATTTCAGGATAATCTGGTGTTTCTGTAAAAGGAAACGCTTACGGCCCACTTCCTAAAATGGAACCAGAACTTCTTTTGACCTGTGTTACATGTAGGACTGAATCGAAAAAGTTACCAAGTTGAAAAATAAGTTACCAAATTACCAAATATGATAAACAAAGAAAAAAATTACCAATTTCGGAAAAAACAGCAATGCGGCAACACTGCATGTGTTACATATGTACATACATACGTACGAGGAAAAACAGCTGATTCCGTACGGAAGGTGCGATCAGTATCGCTCTTTCCTTAAGCAAATGACGTTTGGCGAATCTTGACGAAACTTGATGTTAAGCATATTATAGTTTCAGAATAGGATTTATGTGTATTCGCACATTTGAATACGCTTGCTTATTCATATTATAGTTAGCCCTTTAGTTAACTGCAGTCAACCATTGGTCAAACTGATACTGTGAAATGAAAAATGGTGGTTTTAAGCTGAAATTAGTCAAGAACGTACGTAAACCCGAGTCAGCTGACACGATCTGTCTTACCAAAGCGCCTGTAAAAGTAGAAACCTTAATAATACGCTTTTATACAACTCAAACGTCTTTACTTTATTCGTTCTAAATCCTTCGTCGGTAAGCAGAACCAGTTCTTACACTTCAACATCTTTTACACTTGTACGCTGTCGGTGAAAACGAATAAAGTTGGTACCGGAGGCCATTTAGTATGTCTGAAACTAACCGATATTTTTTACGAAATCGAGCCGGTGTTACGAGCGAGAATCAAAGGAGTGAATCAGAATCATCGTTTGAAAGCATGGAGGGTCAGCCAGGTGCAGCCGCAGAAGACAGCGCGAATGCTATAATTGCTACATTGAATGCGTTAAGGGCTTCCGTAGAAGAGCTTAGACAAAGCACTGCGGAGAGCCAAAGAGACATAATAAGGCTTCGCGAAGGCATGCAACCACAGAATATTCCGGAGCAGAGCGTGCAGCCAGCACAGCGTGACAATACTCAAGCCGTCATAGCACCAACCGACTCGCAAGTAAAACTTTATGATTTGCCTGTGTTCAGTGGTAATGTCGAGGACTGGCCGCTATTTTTCGCAAATTTCAACGACACCACGGAAACCTTTGGGTATAGCCACCGCCAAAACCTTATGAGGTTGCATAAGTGCTTAGTTGGTCCCGCCAAAGAAGCTGTCGCCGCCATGCTAATTTACCCGAGCAACGTGCCGAACGTCATAAGCGAGTTGGAGTTCAGGTTCGGGCGACCAGACATTTTGGTTAAATTCCAAATCAGTAAACTGCAGNCGGGCGACCAGACATTTTGGCTAAATTCCAAATCAGTAAACTGCAGAATTTCCCGCCAATAGCGGATAATAAACCGGAGCAAATTGTACCGTTTCCCTCGAGAGTGAGAAATGTTGTTGCATTTCTTAAGTCTGCAAATTGCCAGCAGCACTTAGCTAACGTAACATTGTTAGAACAAATGGTGGGTAAGTTACCGCATAACCGACAGTTCGACTGGGCGAAGCATGCTGCGAATATACAACCGTATCCATCAGTTAAACATTTTTCTGAGTGGCCTAGCGAGTTGGCTAAAATAATTTGTCTTATGCCGACGATCAGCACGCAGAGTGGCAGGCAGTCAGCATCATCGGGCAATCCTCGTCGACTGATGCATATTGAGCGGCCAAAGGACTCACTTACTTGCTATCAGTGTAGTGGTAAGCACATGCTACCACAGTGTGATGCGTTTAAGGCAAGAAGTATTCAAGAGCGGTGGGACCTGGTTAAGGCGCAACAGCTTTGCTTTTCGTGCCTACGCAAGGGGCACACAAAAGTGTTGTGCAAGAAGGAGGTGTAACATAAGTGGCTGCCAGCGCTATCACAACCAGCTACTCCACAACGAAGATGCAACAATGCAGATGCTACGCCGAACTACACGAGAGGATGTCATTGTGCAGACACTACTAAATTTTCAAGAAACATAAAGCGCACATGGTCAACTGTTTAAAATATTGCCAGTCAACATATATGGACCGAAAGGTAAGCGTGAGATATTAGCGATGTTCGACGAGGGTTCGTCAATTTCAATAATGGAAGAGGAAGTGGCCAAGCTAATCGGAGCCCAGGGTTGCCTGCATCCACTTACGCTGCAGTGGTATGACAACAACGTTGTTACCGAACAAACGCATAAAATAAGAATTGAAGTTGAGAATTGCGCGGCGAAGAGGAAGTTTCTACTGAAGGAGGTATATACGGTTAAGAACCTGAACCTGCCAGAGCAGTCTATGGCCAAGGAAAATTTTCAGCATTTGAGAGATTTGCCGATAAAAAACTACTGTCGTGCGAAGCCAGTTTTGCTCATCGGGCTAAAGCATGTATACCTTGGTGTGACCTCAGCAACAGTGCAAGCCGACATCGACAGCCCGCTAGCTGTAAAAACACTACTAGGCTGGGTCGCGTACGGCCCAACCAAGCTACCTACAACATTGAATCCCCGTGTTTTGTTGGTGAAAGAATATCAGCAACTAAACGACTTAGTACAAGAGTACTTCGCAGCAGACAGCTTTAGAGTCAACCCGCCAGCAGTTTCATTGGAGTCAGATGAAGACCAGCGAGCACGTGAGATATTGCGCCGAACAACTAAACGAGTAGGCAAGCAATATGAAACCGGTCTACTATGGAGGACATATTCACCGAAGTTGCGAAACAGTAAAGCAATGGCCGAAAAACGCTTACTGACAGTGGAGCGCCAAATGAAGAACGATGCCGAGTTTGGTACACGATACAAACAAGAGATGGCTAAGTACGTGATCAAAGGGTATGCAAGAAAGTTAAGCCGTGAAGAAGCCAGAGAGCCACACCAAAATGCTTGGTACTTACCTCACTTTGCCGTATTCAACCAGCATAAGCCCGAAAAGACGCGAATCGTCTTTGATGCCNGAAAATGCTTGGTACTTACCTCAATTTGCCGTATTCAACCAGCATAAGCCCGAAAAGACGCGAATCGTCTTTGATGCCGCAGCCGCAGTAAACAACGTATCGCTCAACTCGCAACTATTGAAGGGTCCGGAGCAAGCACAACCGTTGATACGGATTTTGCTACAGTTTCGCCAGGGACGTGTCGGAGTGTCCGCAGACATACGCGAAATGTTTTCGCCAATCAAGATACGCGCACCTGATCAGCACGCTCAGCGGTACTTGTGGCGTGATGGTGATGCGAGCAAGCCTGTGGCAGAGTATGTGATGACGTCGTTAATTTTCGGTGCTGTTTGCTCACCCTGCATCGCCGAATATATAAAAAACAAAACCGCCGAGGAGTATCGAGCACAGTTTCCAGATGCCGCAACGACTATAATTAACAAGCATTATGTCGATGATTTAGTTGCAAGCTTCGACACGCCTGAACAAGCCAACAAGATCGTTTGAATCATTCGTCGTTATCCGTGAGAGAAGTGGTTAGCCTGGAACACAACGGGTCAGTGGACAAAGTGCTTGGCCTCTACTGGAATACAAGCGATGACGTTTTCGAATTCCACACGAAGCTCCACCGTTTGCCGAAAGATGTCCTGCACGGAATACGAGCTCCGACAAAACGAGAGTTGTTACGAATCGTGATGTCGGTGTTCGATCCATTTGGTATGTTAGCAGCATTTTTAATTACTTCTAAAGTTCTCATTCAAGAAGCGTGGAAGTGCGAGATTGGCTGGGACGAAGTTCTGCATCAAGAACTAAACAAGAGATGGTGGCCCTGGTGGCAAGAGTTTCCTAAAGTGAAGCAGTTGCAAATACCCCGCTGTTATTCGCCGCAAATCTTACATGGTGGCAAGGTAGAAATCCACACTTTCGTCGACGCTAGTTGTGGCAAAATCGTCTTGAAGGAGGGTGGCTACACAAAAATGCAACACTGTTTTGTGTATCAAGTGTCATCACTAGTTTTTTCTTTTAAAATCGAAAATTCATTAACGTACGATTGAAGTGAATCTTTACATACAAATAAAAACTAAGTTTTTTAAAGCGTTTCGCTTGCTTAATACATAGTACAAAATAGAAGTTTCCCATTCTTTAAAAAACTTATCTGCTGCAAGTCTTGAAAGCAGCTTGCAGCTTTTCGTGGGAAAAGACGATCGCTGAATCGTGCAACATGAGCGGGGCTTCCGATGAGAAGGTAGACTGCCCCATATGCAAAAAGCCCGAGGAGGGTGATATGGTGCAATGCGATAGCTGCGACAATTGGTTCCACTTTGTATGCGCCAATGTTTCTCCTGGTATCGAATCCATCGACTGGGTGTGCAGTGAGTGTGCAACAAACAAAACAGTGGTCAATGCGCAAGAGGAAGGTGAAGCTATTGGTGCTACGAACGCAAGTATGAAGGCAGCAGGAAATGCAGGTAAATACGATGGTTCAAATCACAAGGACACGGAATCTGTTTTGCAAAGCGAGGTAAGGGAGTTGCAAAAGCAAGTACTCCAGCTACGTAAAGAAAATGATATTTTGCAAAGTCGCCAAAATAATTCGGGTGTACAAGCAACCAAGGTCACCACGTTGCCAACCACGAGCGTAGATGATAGATTCAATGCGCTAACCACGGGCACACAGGGTGACACAAACGCGCAGTACACAGGGTTAAGAGCGCAAAGCAATTTCTTTTTGCCAAGCACGAGCACACAGGTGCTGACTACGGGCATGAAGAACATTTCATGGCGAGGCAATCCAATGGAGCGAATTGCGGGCACAGGACCCCTTCCAAGACAGTTGAACACAAATGATCAGTACACATATACTGCAAGGGGCATGCAGGGGCAACTAAACGCAGGTGCCTACATCGGCGCGAATCATAGTTTGAATAATGACTTCTTAAGGCAAGATCACGACGGTGGCGGTTATGGCGGCTCCATGGGTGGCGGTTATGGCGGCTCCATGTGCGGCGGTTATGGTACTGGAGAACGTCAGTCAAATTATAACTTGACAACTGTGCAAATTCAAGCAATACAAGATCTGCCAAAAGAGTTGCCACACTTCAGTGGCAAACCCGAAGAGTGGCCGATGTTTATTAGTGATTTTTTTGAGGTTAGGATTTTCATGCATTAGTATTTGACAGATCACGTGGGATTTCAGACATGGTGTCAAAGAGAAAGATGCTCAGTATGCTTTGAAATTTCATCATGAATAGACTTACTAACGAGCAACGCTTGCAAATCATTGAATTTTATTACCAAAATCAGTGTTCGGTTCGAAATGTTTTTATCGACAAATTTTGTTCAGCGATGAGGCTCATTTCTGGTTGAATGGCTTCGTAAATAAGCAAAATTGCCGCATTTGGAGTGAAGAGCAACCAGAAGCCGTTCAAGAACTGCCCATGCATCCCGAAAAATGCACTGTTTGGTGTGGTTTGTACGCTGGTGGAATCATTGGACCGTATTTTTTCAAAGATGCTGTTGGACGCAACGTTACGGTGAATGGCGATCGCTATCGTTCGATGCTAACAAACTTTTTGTTGCCAAAAATGGAAGAACTGAACTTGGTTGACATGTGGTTTCAACAAGATGGCGCTACATGCCACACAGCTCGCGATTCTATGGCCATTTTGAGGGAAAACTTCGGAGAACAATTCATCTCAAGAAATGGACCGGTAAGTTGGCCACCAAGATCATGCGATTTGACGCCTTTAGACTATTTTTTGTGGGGCTACGTCAAGTCTAAAGTCTACAGAAA